CTGAAGTTGCGTACCTTAGTTCGAATTAGGGGGGGTAGTGTAGACCAAGCCTGTGTGAAGATCATCATTCCTGACAAGCACTGTGATAGTTGTTAACAAGAATGTTGTTACAAACAGTGCAACTGACCCATTAAATAATTGCTCCAAGCAAAGAAGAGCATAATATATTAATGTATACTGCTTTGAAGTTATTTAGGTTAACTGAAAGAGAAGAGCAGGTTGATAATATGGTCTCTGAATACTTGGCTTCTTCCACGAAGTAACAGCAAAACTCCCTCCAACTTCAATGGGAGCCATATGCAGCCATCTGAAGACAGAAATTGACCATAATTTGCAATAAACATCATCCCCATTTTTTGAAATGTTTGGTTTCAATTTTGTCTACATTATCAGTGAACTGTTCTTCCACAGCTAAAACAGTTGCTATATTTTGTTTTCAAAATTCCTTCGGTAAAAAATAACCTTACCAACGGGCATTCCAATAATAATGCATCCTCTATTTTTTCTGATTTAGAACATGCTGGCAGTTGATAAAGTATTCTTGGCTCTCGTGCAATGCTGAGAAAAAAGATTATAAATGATCAGTCTACTTTATAAACTACATCTGTCAACAGGTCAGTTTATGCACTATTATAAATCATTACCTCCTCATGCAGTCAGCATTCTGAACTTCCCAGCATGCTAGGCTATTCTTATTTTGGTAACTCTCTCTCTGTGCTACTTTCAGAATTTGGGTACCCCCACCCCCTACTGTAAGATGCCATTAAAAAGATCACTTTTTGTCTAGGTAAACATTTTAGATAAGAGATGTACCAATAATGTTCTTATTTTAGTAACATACTTAAAAAAAGAACTAAACAGAACATATTAAAATTAACTCAGGAACAGAAGACCATCAAAAACCTCACCACCTGCAGCTCCAAGTGCATGACACACTTCTTCCACCTTGCTTTCTCTAATGCAAAATCATAGCAGCACACCCACACCCACCCACCCACATACATTAAAACTCTACCAAAACAAAATACTTCACAGCATGCACAATTCTCCCCCTGGGGAGAGGAGGAGAAAAAGAATGAAGCACAAATGACAGATGTTACTCACGTTGCTGATTGCACTACTAGAAGGTGCTCAGATTCTAGAGTCATGAGAGTGATATAAAAACCTATATAGTTAGAACTTGAGGTGGGGGGAACTATCATTTTGCAACAAGTTATTGTGCCAAATTCTTCTGAGTTACACCTGTGTAAATCTAGAGTAACTTCATTGACTTGCACTGTGTAGCTGACCGCAGAATTTGACCGATTAAGTACCATCAGGAGGAATCTCTTCCACTGTATCAGTGTTGTGCCTTTCTTGGCATGGGTGCCAGAAGCTGATAATTCTTGTATGGTTTAAGAATTTAGCAACACGTTTCCTGAAATGAACTCTGTCTCTAGTTCTGTCTTCTTCTTTTGGACTTATTAAATGACATCATTCACAAGGCATTTTACGTGCTGGAAATCACATGCTAAAAAGGGTCCTGATCCTGCAAGATAAGAAGTATCTTCAACTCCCGTTAAAGTGCATCTGGCACGTAAATATCTTGCGACGCCGGTTACAACAGTGTCATGTGAACGCCTGTTCTCACTTTCAGGTGACATTGTAAACAAGAAGCAGACAGCATTATCTCCTGCAAATGTAACCAAACTTGTTTGTCTGAGTGATTGGCTGAAGTAGGATTGAGTGGACTTGTAGGCTCTAATGCTTTACAGTTTTATTTTTGAATGCAGTTATTTTTTGTACATAATTCAACATTTGTAAGTTCAACTTTCATGATAAAGAGATTGCACTACAGTACTTACATTAGGTGAATTGAAAATACTATTTCTTTTGTTTTTTACAGTGAAAATATTTGTAATAAAAAATAAATATAAAGTGAGCACTGTACGCTTTCTATTCTGGGTTGTAGTTGAAATCTATATATTTGAAAATGTAGAAAACATCCAAAAATATTTAAATAGTATTCTATTATTGTTTAACAGTATAATTAATCATGTGATTAATCGCAATTAATTTTTTTAGTCGCTTGACAGCCCTAATCTTAAACTTGTGTGGTATTCTTGGGTAACACCGACTGGATAGAATTTATATTAGAGCCAGATCAGCTATGTGTTGATGACCCATTGAGGACACTTCACTCTAACAATGAGTCATAGAAGAAACCCATTCCGCCCAGATAGCTCTTCCTGTGGATGCCTCACCAAGAATATAGGCAATGGCTACCCCTGTGAATCATCAAGCCATGTAAGGACATGTGATATGCTTACGTGATCCTGAACTCCACTGTGAGCCAGTAACTTTCCACAATCTGGGCTGTGAGCTTTGTTTTGAGACAGTAAATTTCCAGGCCCATGGCAGAGAATATAAAAGACCCCTGAAATATCTCCACTATGCCTCTCTTTTGCCCTGATTCTCTGGACTGTGGATTCCAATCTTCTGGAAGTCACCTGAGAGACTTTACAAGCTAGCAGTTTAATCCATCATTGCTACAAACCTGATATAAGAACTTTGCAATTATTTGATCTATTAACCATTAACAACTCTCTTATTCTTTCTTTTATTATTAAACTTTTAGTTTCAAGTTACTAAAGGATTGGCATCAGCGTGATTATTGGGTAAGATCTCAGTTATACATTGATCTGCCTATGTGCCTGATCTCTTGGGGGTAAAAGAACCCTATGTTTGATTAAATTGTTTTTTAGTAACCACTCATCATAGAGTCCAGTGTCTGTGTGGTGAGACAAGGGTTGTAATGCCTAAAGAGACTGCATCTTTGACTTATTGTTAATCAATGTGCCAAGACAGAAGTTTACTTTTGTTACTGGCTTGGTATAATCTAATGATCAAATAACCACCAATTTAGGGTGAGACTGCCCTATTTCCCAGCAGTTTGTCCTGAATTTGGCATCCTCAGCTGTGACCCACTGAGGCCCAGTGACAACTACAAGAAATAAAACTAGTGTTCAGTCTGTTTAATTTGAATTCTGTGCAGTGCTGAACATCCTCAACTCCCATTAAAATCCAGTGATAGTTGAACATAAGCAGCACCTCACAGGATCAGGCCTTACCTTGCCAAAAGCAATGCAATACAGCTATTGTCTAACACTTAAGAGATAATAAAATAAGGGTCCAATCCTGCGAACAATTAGGCATATGGGTATCTGCGCTTATACAAGTAATCCCATTCAACTCAGTGGGACAACTCGTGGGAGTTTCTAAGATCAAAGCCTGAGTATTAAAATGAAAAATAATGGCAATTTTTAGCAATCAAATAATTACCTGCTCACACAGCACCGATAATTGTCAAAATAAATTCTTCCACGCTCATAAGCAATAGGAGATGTGGAATGAGTTGTCCAAACATTCTTGAATTTAGTACTTTTCTGAAATAGACAATGAGTAGAAGAAGGCTTTTATGACAAGCTGTGGTTTTGGAAAATATTTCACTTGCCCCTACCGCTTAATAACTTATGTTAGTTGAACATAGTCTGTTGAACACACAAAGGACTTTTTAAATAAATAAATAAGTCTCTTGGAGTTATCTAGCCATTTAAAAATTTTCTTTCCTTCTTTCTATGATTGTAGACTGGATGCATCCAGTTGTGAATACAGTAGGCATTGAAATAAGGTAAGCAGGGCTTTGACTCAAAAGTATTTGAAAAGTAAGTCTAGAAAAGTTGGAGTGGGGTACATGGTGGAGGAAAATGTAATAAAATTTATGAATGGGCCTTTATAAGAAAACTAGGGACAAAAAAATGAAAAGAGAAGCTTTACCAATTCATGGGCACCATGTAAAATAAATGTTTATCATTAACTGACACAGGTTAAAAATAAATTTGGTAATAAAATTTTTATGCAAGCTTTTCAACTTAAAAATGATAGGCTCTGATATTGCAAATATGCACAAATACCCATATATATGGTAGTAATCCCATTGAATTCATGGGGTTTTGGGATCCAGCCTACTCTTGGTGTTTGGAGGAAGGCACGGAAGGGAGTTTACACGCTTGCATAAAGAATGCAAGATGTTAATGAGTTCACTTGAACTACTCACATGCATAAAGTTACTCATGTGCATTAATGACATCAGGATATGGGGTTGTAAATAATTGTATCTGTATTAATTAAAACCCCAATCCTTTATGAGATGCATGTAGGTGGGCTATAGCCAGACAAAGCCCCATTACTTCAGTGGGGCCCTATGTGGGTGCAGGGATCCCCCGTCACACATCTGGTTGCATGAATGGGGCCTAACACCTTAGATTGTTAAAACTAAAGTAATTTTTAAATACTAATTTAATTATCCCTATGTGTGCTATTTCTACATTTCTCTCAGCTTGGCCAATAACAAAATTTAAATCAGTTTCACTCTGGTTTATAATCAGCTGCAATTTTAGTTTCCCAGTGCTACAATGTTTGGTTTCCACTTCAGAGGCATGTTTATTTGTTTACAGAAAACTATTGATTTTTTTTAATTGTGGAAACAATTCTGTTGCACTTAGGCCAGATCTACACTACTAATTTATACCGGTATAACTCATTCAGGGGTATGAAAAATTCCTGAGTTATGCCAACCTAACTGCTGGTGTAGTTGATGGGAGTGCTTCTCCCGCCGACATAGCTATCATCTCTTGTGGAGGTGGATTAACTATACTGACGGGAGAAGCTCTCCTATTGGTGTAGTGGAGTGTTCACTAAAGTGCTACAGTTACTCCTGGGGGAATTCTGCACTGCTGCGCACATGCAGAATTCATGTCCCTCTTCAGGAAATACATTCTGCCAGAGGCTCTGCAGTTCTGCCTTTTGCCCACCAGGGGCCACTGTGTGCCAGAACTGCCAGCAGCTAGCTGCGTTCCTCATAGTGCTCTGCCAGTAGAGCCCAATTAAGAGTTATGGGATATGGGGGGGTTCACAGACTGGTGTTCAGAAGGCTAATGGGGTGACAGCATTGAGCAGGGGCTGAATGGGAGGGCAAGAGCGGCAGAAGCACCCTAAAAGTGGGGGGGGTGCAGGCACCCAAACCGTGCCCCCAAGCCCACACTGCCCCTTCTTCCTGAGCCCCACCCTCACGCTGCTCCTTTTCCCAAGACCCTGCCCTCGCACAGTCTCTTCCCCCAAGACCCTGCCACCTGCTTGCTCCTCTCCTCCCCATCACTTGCCCTTATGGTTGGTAAAAAGTGTGGGGGGGGGGCAGAGCCCTCCATGTTCCAGCATCCCTGCTGCAGAGCCACATGGGGATGGGGACTAGGGGGCTGCAGGGCAACATGAGGGAGAGGGGGTAGGGGCTGCAGGGACACATGGGGTCAGCCAGGGGCTGCATGGGGGAGGCTTCCTTACTCCCTAACAAAAAAACCCTGTTCCATACTTCTCCCTCTCACACCCAACAACCCTCCAGGTTCTCTCCCAGGCGCCTTCCCTCTCCCTCAGCACCTCCGTTACCCCTGTCTACCTCAAGCCTTTGCACTGCTTCTGAGGGATGGAGGAAATATAGATCTGTATTGTAGTTTAAATAAATTACTCAAAATTCTGTATTAATATGCCCAGTGAGGAATCCATTTGTCCAAAAAAAAAAAAAAATCCTGAATTTTTGTTTGTATTGTTACAGACATATTTGCTGAGAGGTATTTTGAAATAAATTACCAAAATAATTGAAACTGGTGTGAATATATATTGTGTTATTTTGACAAATTTGGCACAGAATTCCCCCGGGGGTATATAGTGAGGCAGCCTGCACCACTGCATATGTAGATAAACCCTTAGAGTTTTGAGGTCAAATTTAAAGTTGATGATGTCCCTTACACTGTTAGCATAATTTTAATATGAAGTATTATATAATTGTGTACAATAATAGTCCCCGGGATTAAGAAATCTGAGTAAAAGAGTCACACAGTAACACTGTTATAATGTAAAATAAAAGTTTGATTTACAAATGGTAATGCCATTTTTCCCACCAGACGATATTCTTCAAGTTTGAATGATAAAGATGTTGCATCTTTTCCAGATTTTTCAGAGGTAAATTTAATAGTATTGCTAACTCTCTCATCCTTAATCAAGAACTCACGCTGTTTGCTCTCTCACAAACTTCTCCCGTTCAGAGTTTGGTCCAGAGGTTACCCAAATTCCTGCACTAGACTGGAGTTCACAACATCTGGAATGAAGAAATCAGGTTCCAAACAAGGATTGAGTCACTGCTGGAAAATGTTAGAAGCTGTTACCTGACATACTAGCTTTCTTAGGATTCCCATGTTTTTTCTGTGGGCGACACCCGCATCTTTTGTATAAAATCCGTGAGATCTCCTGGTTAGAAGGCGGCAGACATTGTGAATTTTAAGAGCACTGGAGGAGAGTCTCGTGGCTGAGGAGGAGGAAGCGGCTGAATCTGGAGACATTTTTATTTCGTGGGAAAAGCTCGAATTCCTTCTAATTCCTGACTCAGGCAGCAAGCGCGGGGCTGTTCACTACAAGGAGACAACAATGCATGTGCCGGCAATGCCACAAGTATTATGGGCCCCCTTGCTGATGCTTCCTTCTCCCTCCCCCAAATCCCGGAGCCCTCCGCGGGCACAGGGTACACAAGCCGGGAAAGAACTGCCTG